ATAAGATGAACAAGATGAATAAAGGGTATGAAAATGCTTCCTGAAAGATTAATTTAGTTGTTAGATCTAATTTTAGTTAATAAAAAATTATGTATTTTAATGTGATAATGGTGTAAAAATAAATGATAGATCATAAATTAAATAAATAGCTATAAAAGTATAAATCGTAAATATTAAAAATATTTTTTCACAGTGTATATAATATATAATAATATAATTAACTCAAAAACTATTCAATATTGGACTCATTTCGAAGGTATTAACGAGGCGATTATAATGGTATAACTTGTTAAAATAAAAAGGTATTTTTTAAACATGTTTTAGTTGATGTACGATTATGTATGTTAATTTAATAAAGGTGCAAAACGAAAAATTTAAAAGTAAAATGTGTCAAATGAATTAATTAAATAATTACAAGGGTATGAAGTGTAATTTAAAATTATAATATTAAACAAATTGATTGAATGTGAGAGGGAGGGGGTGTATAAGTGAAGTAAGGGGGTAGGGATATCAACCCCCTTTTAATACAGAAGAGAGAGAAAGAAAAAAATAATAAAATAAAAATAATTTTTGATATAATTTTTTTCCTTTCCTTTTCTTTCCCTTTCCCTAAAAAAATCTCGATAACAGAATATTTTTTTTCTCATTACTTTCTTCTCTTTTCTACGTAAAAGAAGATTCAAGAACATAGAGTTAGGGTTAAAACAAACTTTTCTGTAATCATCGATTATATAAATTAAAATACTCATGTTGGTGATAGTTTGATATCTTATTCTTCTTTTAGAGATGGAATAGTACATAAGATTTATACACTAAATATTAGATAATAAAAAACAACTATGTAAAAACAATTATAGTTTTATTATTATAAATATAGATATAAGTTGTACCGTCTTATATGGTTGAGATATTTTTCTAAAGATGGGGGTTTTGTTACCTAATAACAAAAAAAATTATCATATTCTAATATAAAAATAGAATTCATGCCAAAATGGAACAATCAAAGAGTCGATTGGAGATAAATTATGGAGAATATATCAAAGTTTTCTAAGCAAGTTGTTTTAGACGTCGGTTTTAGATTAAAAAACTTAGAAAAACATTAAATAATATTATATAATGAACGACAGATTAACATCTTTATGTATTTTCTTCTCCAATATATTTAATTCATACATGTTTGGGTCTTTTATAGTTAAAGTAGTACAAAAATATTTTCTTGTCATATTAGATACTAATTTTTTATGTGTCTTCTATTTACTATTTTTTTTAAACTACTATTATATATATTAATAAAATTTGGGCCCTGGGCATACGCCCAGCCTGCCCTCCCTAAGGGACGGCCCTGTGTAAGATTGTTTTTAGGGATTGAAATCATTGGTGTGGTTGGTTTGTAGGATTTGAAATGAAATCTAATGTTTGTTGGATTTCAAAATAAATCTTAATATTTCAAATCCGGACAATCCAACAAATCAAACATGAGATCGGAAAGTATATGAAATCCAAATCTCCTCAAATCCATTTCATTCCTGTAAACTAAACGGAACCTTATAGTACAAATTTGGTTTCTGAAGTTTGTTCAAAATAACACTCAAATTGTACAAGATGATCATCATAGTTTACATAAATATTTTGAAAAAAAATCTGTTAAATGAACGATATTTTAATCATTTTGTTGAATATTTTATTTTTTACTCAATGAAAATAGATTTTATGATTTGGGTATCTGTGGTTTTTGATTGGGTAAGAAAACAAAAATAAAAATCAATAAAAAGACAACAATACCCCTCAATTAATATAATTTTTACGGCTGTTAGAGAAGGGGACTAAGTCTGGCTGTTTTTGCAAAACACATTTGTCATCTTGTAATTTCGAAACTGTAGGAATGAAAAGTGTTATTTCTTACACACCACAAGAACCAGATTTGTATTATCTATATATATATATATGTGTGTGTGTGTGTGTGTGTGTGTGTATGTATAGACGGATTCTGTTAACAAGTGAAGATAAATTAGGAACTCAGGAACCGGCCATACCACAATATATGGTATATTTATCATGAATATAAACATGTTATTTTATTAAAAATGTTGTAACATATTCATCATTATTATGTTATTCATAATAAATATTCATCCTAAAAAAAGACATGTTACACATTATTAACGTTTTTTTAGATTTTTAATCAATTTTAGATTTCCAACAAATCTTTCCTTTTCTCCTCTCTGTCACTCATGTGTGACATTCCAAAGGTATTGATAAAGAAAAAGGTGAGAGACTTTGCGTGGACTTGAGTTAGAGGACAAATCATAATTAGATGTTAAAAAGCCTTAGAAAATATAGTACAAAATAAATAAACATGTGAGCTTAAAATAAAAAACAATTTGGCAATTAGAACGCCATTTATTTAGAGATCGTTTATCAAATGCTTACTCGGGTAAGTGAACATCAAGTCACATTATCTTATCGGATGAATATGGTATGAACCAATAATCTTACCCGGTAACAGCGAGACAAGGACCAAAAGTCTTATCCGGTAAATGAGGACGACGACTCTTACTGATGTTCGAGAGATTTTTTTTTCCGGTGTTTAGGTCGATTTCAAGATACTTTTTTTCGGTTTCTTTACTGATGTTCCTTGTATTTAATATCATGGAACATTCCTTAAAGTTTAACGGGTATACATACCTCAAAAAGAATCTCACTTAAGAAAAATAAACACATATAGGTCTATCCCTGCATTATATCTATACTATATTATAAAGCATTTGACAAAAACTCTTAAAAAATATTTTTTTTATGCGTAAAGTACTGTTTATTAGGGCATATTACTTAAAATTCAAGATTACAAGTAGATTGTGCGTAAATACAACTTATTAAAGCTTCATATCTGAATTCGTGTAACTAACTGCAGATAAACATAATCAAATACAAG